GACGACTACCGTGTATTATAGTAGTATATATAATTTGTATTCAATCCTTAGGGTCCTGTGTAACGGAACCAGTCATCTGGCAAAGAAAATCTCTTAAAAAGGATTAAATTATTGTCGCGGTATACATGACGGAACTTCTAGATTTGCATAAGGGTGTCAGGTGCGTGCGAATCTGACGTGTTCCCCTTAGACGGTTCTTTTTTCTTCTTCTTCGTCTTCATCGTCGTTACCTCTACGCCGCCCTAATATAATATATAAGCACGTATAAATATTTTCACAGCAACGTAATCAATTCACATGAGATTACGTGGTAATTCGATGGCGGCATACGTATTTGCGTTTTTCCAATTCCCTGAGACGAATAACTGAAATTGTCAAAAACGCAAATCCGAAAACTTCGAATCGTTTCGTATTATAAAGAAACGGTTTTCGAGCAATGCAAGTACCCATATTCGTTGTATTGAGACTATATGTATATAGTATATACATTATACATATCATCATTGTTTGATTAAATGATTTATGTCGATGGCCTGTTATCATTCGTTTTACACTTTTACAAGTATATTGAGTATTGACGTCACATATATATAACGGTAACATCAAGCCTAATCTATTTTATTGGCAACATCTCAAACGTACAGCGCAATAAATTATACATAAGGTTACAATAATGAGTATTGTTCAATTTGTAATAATCTAATTCAATAATTAAAACTGGCCGAAGTAAAAAATCTATTATGTGAATAGAATTTTAATATGGTTATTTCAAATTTAATCAACAAGATATATAATTTAAAAAAAAATCATTTGTTTCAAAAAATGCAATTTGCGATTTCAATTATTTTTATCATCCACGGTTATTACGAACTTATGTACCTACCATTTTATAACTGCAAATCAAGTCTGTGTGGCTACACTATAAATTATAATATTATATAAACTGTATTAAATTAAATTATACTTTCTTTTCTTTTGCAATCTGTATAATATTACAATAAGTAAAATAAATGGTTAAATTAATTTATATGACGTTAATAAATACACATATTATTCTCTTTATCCAGGACTAAGGAGGCCATTTATATAAACATTAAAACACATAATATTATAAACTTTGAGTATTATATATTTGAGACATGAATTGGTAGTGTATGATTGATGAACATAATGGACTTTATTTGTATTTAGATTCATAAAGATAAGTTATACGGTGTCAGTCTTAAATATAGGTACCTAAATTCATACTAACAATGCTAAACTTAATTTTTTATGATTACTTCATATCTTATTTTTTAATCACAATTTAAATCGTACATTTATACATTTTTTAATCTTAAAAGTTAAATATTTGGGTACAATATATATATTATATATACATTATTCCCACATATTTAGTTAAATCATGTAAATCGTCATTAATTACACTATGAAAAACGACTTGAATAAGTAAACATTTGAACTAACAAGTCTCGTAAGACCATGAGATACCCTCAACTAAAATGTATCAGTTTCAAAATTTTCAAAAGATTTTTTGCTGCAAGTTATATCAGTTATTTTCGATTTGGTTCTAATGCCCGACCTACATAATACCATCAAATATCTCATACGTTGTGCTGTACGACATACGTTATGTATACCGATCGCTGTATATTTAATTAATACTCTTTGGAAGGAAAATGTTTATCGCGGGCGTGGAGACTGACGGTGAATGCCATACATACACTGTGGAACTCGTATTTTCTCGGCTACTCAGGCATATTATATAGGAAGTCTCGAGATGGATGAGAAATGACACGCGGACAGCGGAAGAAGCGGCAGCGGCGAGGCGGTTTACACGGTCGGTTGACGGTGTAACCGCGGCACGGGCCGGAAAACAGTTGGTCATTAAAGACGGGACGCCCTGCAAAGACGTATCGGTCCCATTAGATCGTCCCGTCGGGGGCGAGGGGGAAGTTTTGGAAAGCGGAATTCACTTAGGCGGCGCGGCGGTGTCGGTCGGGGAAAATGATGTATCGGTGACGGTGGACTGCGGCTCAGTGGTGGCGGACGCCGTGCAGTTGGGTCACGTGGAAAATCGTCGATTCTTCATGCCAGCCGACCATCCATCAATTTCCAAAAACACGCCACCCCTTCCCCCGACACTACCACTCAGTGAATTCGTTGTGTCCCTAGTTACCAGACTTCGGATTTCGATACGGGCAGAAAAAAATCATATACAGATGTCGATTAGGTACCGCATGTGATACCGTTGTGTAAATAGCACATTATTATGTACCTACGTAACAAAATAGTGTGTTGTAGTACACAACCCAGAACTTCATTTTTGTATATTGTATACTAGTTGTTCCTGTACGGCGCGGCGTCGCTCGTGACATATTGAATAATGGCAGTGGGTTTACCTTGTATTGAACTCCGTTAAATGTAAACTGTGCATAATTTTGGTGGTTCTGACCAAATGTAAAATAGGGGTCTAAAATGATATACAATAATTTTTATGGTAATAACTATTTTATTTTCTGTAACCAACCTTTCGTGAGCTAAGAAATCCTTACGCGTGAGTCTTTCCTTAAATTTTTTTAAAAAAATTGGCTTCGATGTGCGCAATGCACATATTCGAGTATAGACCCGAATATAGGATACCAATATATACCAAATTTCAGAACCATTCTTACGGTAAACTTGGCTATGATTTGTATTCTCACACACACACGTTGTTTTTTATTAATATAGATGTTTAAATGCTGATTTTACTGAACACTGAGTATATGTATGCAATAACATGTATACCCTTTCAGGCGTGCCATATATATGTATTATACTGCAGAGTCGTCCAAATGCCACGAAATCCCTTTGGGGACGATTGCACCACGCAATACCTATTAAAATATTATGATGCCTTGCGCACATTACAACTATAATATAATATTATTATGTAAAAACATGACAATAATACATCGCAGCGATGACGCGCATACCCCCTAGCAGGGCGGTTCGATTCACGTCAAGTCTCCACAACAAGAATAGTGTATAACTATAGGAAACACGCTCACGTCACCGAAGACACGATTTTCCAATTATTATTATTATTATTATTATTAACGTCATTGTTGCTATTTTTATGTACGTGTCCGATTTTACGGGGCGGCCCGTATAAAAATCGTCCGGAAAGTCCGAAACGTCCTGCAGATGGAGTTTTAAAGACCCTCGCGGTGTACCGCCCCCGCTGGACAGTCGTAAAGATCGGTTAATGCGGCGACGCGCTCGGGGGGGGGGGGGCATAGGTAAGGTATACATATAATGCGCGGCAGAAAGAAGTCCGGCCGCATCGCGTACACTCGCCGACACGTTTTAAAGTGCTGTTTACCGGCGGACAATGGCCGTGTATATAAGGTCTCGGGCTCCGGGTCCCGCCGGGATCGTTAGACCGGGCCACAGATTATTTGTTTTTCTACCTCCACGTCCGCCGAATATACGCCCACATAATCAAGTTAACATCCCGTTATGTATAGGACCCCGCGTGTGTGCCGAGCGTAGTATCTTCTCGTTTACCGCCGCCTCCTCTCCGCGCGTTCCCTCGCACATGGTGAAATTTACAATCGGCCACCCCATCTTACGTACGTCCTATTATTATTTCTTGCTGTTTCACGGCAAATACGCGAGCCTTATTTCCGGTCGTCGTCGTCGTCGTCGCCGTGTGTCTCGACAACGAGGAATTACGAAAAAAACTTTCTATCGTGCCGCAGTGTGCACGCGCCTATACCGCAGTCGTAGATTAGATAAAGAAAAGAAAATACGTAGTGAATCCTATATAATATATATATATCTATATCTCTTATGGTGTATTTTTACTCCGCAAAAAAACATTTTTGAACAAAAAAAAAAAAGACTGACTATTGTAACCTAACCTATATATACGCGTCACGTGTGCCCTGTGTGTGTGTGTGTGTGTGTGTGTGTGTGGCATTCGAGATTGTAAAGTTTTAAGTTTTACCACGTCGTATCCGGTACAAGGGGAAAACGACATCCTTCAGTCGCCAACACAACGGCACATCATTTTTAACCCGAATTAAAAAAAAAAAAAATGTGAAAAGTTAGTCACGTCCGGATTTTGAATCGTACAAGCTTTGTCTCCTTTCTGTTGTTCCCCCCGTGTACGGACTGACTGACATTCCGCAGTTTTATTTTTAATCTCACTATAATTTTTAAAATCACCATCTGTGTACACGAGAGCAAACATCACGAAAACGATCCCTTTATAATTTTATTTTTTTTTTTTAATGCTTGTCATACGGTGAACAATATGCTGGTTTTGTCTGACCGTACAAAAGTGCGAATTGTCAAATGTGTTTTTTCCCCTACTTCTGATATTCCTCTGCACGGGCAACGCATGTTGTTATATCATATGAAATTCCGAAACTTAGAGACACTGACAAGTTTTCAAATTTATATACAAGCTTAAATGAACAATCAGTAATTTTGTTTGCCGAGAACGAAAAAATTTAGTCTGTTCATTATGTAACAGCAAGAAGTATACAAGTACGATTGTTAACGACCATAGAAACAAACGAAAATGTTGCATATAATGTTAAAAATCGAATAATATAGGTTAAAAGTCACGTCACGGCCGTCCCGAATAATTGTCTCAGTTCATTTGAAAATATATGCAATCGCCAATCAAGTATATATAATACGAAACATTCGTGGGATTCGCTTAGTTGGTTCAAACTGTTCATATTTAACGAAAACTAATAGTATATATACGATCATGAGATCGCGGTTGGAAATTGTTTTCTGTCATTCACGTTTAGACGGAAGAGTTAGTAACCATTCACTGTTTGACGGACGGAATGGCCCCTCGCTCTATACATATAATATAGTTTACTAAAATATCATCAATCACCCCGGACGTTCAACCAGATCTTGATTACAAATTTAAAACTTAAAAGTCATTAACCGTTTTGGTAAAAATATTTACAGTTTTTCATTTTTTTTTTCAGGAAGAAAAACTCCCATCCAATGGCGTGGGGTATGCGGCCCATCAGGTCGATGGACAAATGTAAGTGTAGTATTTTTTACATTGTTTTTTTTTTTTAAGCGCATTTTTGTTTCATACTTTCAAGGGGAAAATTATTGGGAAAATTCGTCGTGAGATTTACGGTCTCTTTTTAAGCCTCTGGTACTTTTTCGCTCGTATTTTTATTTCATTTTTTCGCCTTACAGACCCGGTCCTGGAGGTTAACATCGATTTTTTTTAATCATAATTCTACACGGGAGCCGATTAAGCACACGTGTTGCCCAGTGCAATAGGGTGGGTGGTAAATGACAGGCCTTGGGGCTCCTTGGAGACACATAAGACACCGGGATAAAGGGAACTTAAAAAAAAAACGAGACAACCGGTGGGGGACATTAATAAACTTTACGGCACTTTTAGACTCAGTCCCGAGCTTTATTACCACAAGTAAAAAAAAAAAAACAACATCCACAACAATCTTTTTTATTTGTTCCCGTCTGTAATTTTTTACTTGTAGTTCTTTGTTTAATCTTTTTTTCCAAATAATTGTATTATCTATTTAGGTTATAGCCCTATATGTGGACATGTCATACCTAATATATTAATAATTATATAGGTATAGTAGATTAAATGTGGGTGTGCATTGGGTCGTCGCCATCATTATTGTATAGGTACGTGTATGTTTAATGTCATCATTACTGTATCGAATATTATTCGGATAATTGCAAACAAAGCACGTGCATAACTGTTTTCGGTAGTTATTTGGCCGCCGTTCTGTTTTCGTTTCTGAAATAAAAAAATATAACCCCTCCGGAGAGGGTAAGAGAGTATAAACTCTAATGCTGTCGAGATGATAAGGAAAACACGAGGGACAGCCGGCCGGCCCTAAACAAATTTATGGCCTTCTGGACCGTTGGAATTATTTCGTCTGGAGGGAAGAATCTTGTATTACATTATTATTATTGCGTTCTGCTGCCTTGTCCGTAAATCTGACCGCAAAACGCATTTCCACAGCTGTAACCACAATAATCATCTCATCTCGGGTGGGCTTTTCCCCCTTTCTATCTATTATTATTTTTTTTTTTTACTCGGTATAAAAAAAATATAAATAAACGGAGAACGTACAATTATGGAGCTGATAACGTCAGAAAGCTGGGAAATACATCAAAAACCCTATAAATCCGTTACGTCCGTATTTATATCGAGTATCTTTTATTTTCACATCGGCAATAAATTGGAAAACTGACTGCGTCACTGTACATTTGTTGTAAAGTTTTTAATACACTTCTCGTAGTATTTTAGTTATACGTCTCCGAACACTAACACACTAAGTTAATAATACTAAATAGCGTAATATACAATATACATACTAACACCACCGGAACCTTATTTCGTTTTAAATTATTTTATATACTATATATATTATATAGAATAATGAACGAAATTCATTTTATTTCTCCTCTCACCCTTTATCGACTGTAACAACGCTCATAATGTAGATCCAAATGCTTTCAACGAGAATTGAGTAAATATAATAAATTTATGTTTTGATGGTTTTATCATAAGATATTTGAATAACTAACCGTACTATATTTTGACAGTATATTATGTATATGCGGATTAAAATGTAATAATATACTTAGCGTTTTACTCACTCAACATGTAAATTAAAATTAGTATAGGAATCTCTTTATATATATTATTATATAAATTATATTGCGTGAAACTTGTACGCAGTGTTCAAGAGCTATGTAATAGAACTTAGATCATAAACTTAGACACGCCAACAGAAATTCTAATTCATAACCCTCTTCTCATTTACAATTCAATTACTTGGGTACATAAGTAAAACACATATTATAAACGCGTAATATAATAGTAATAATAATAATGCAATAATGGTAATTTGTACAAACGTATAATAGATAATAGTTTTTAATGTTTTTAAATAATAATATACTATATTTCTCGTAGTGTCAATTTCGAACACAAATATGCGAGTATTAATGTAATATTATATTTTGTTTTGCATTTTGAGGTGAAATCGGATCAACATTGATAAAATATAATATACTCAGGGGTTGTGTTCAGAATTGTATTGTAAATAATATGTCCCACTAGTGACGCGTCCGGTATTAATGGAGGTGTTGTGTCAATGTAGAGAGGTCAACAGGACAACAAAAAAAATGTCATTATGCCACGGTTTTTTTTTTACAATGCACACATACACCATTCATATTATTCTCAGACCGTGAAGTATTCATTACGCTCAGGCATCCTTTTACATTTTTCATTATTGTGTTGCGATTATTTTTTTTTTTTAATGAAAAACAACGTCCGTCGACCCGTCTTGCCAAATTATTATATTAAAAAATAATCATAAAAAAATCGCAAAATTAGGGGTTGTGACTTGGCGCCCCGTGTTTTCAACCATCATCCCTCACGTCCCCAAAGTTATTTATATTTTTCGACGGACAAACGGGCGCCACGAGGAAGAAAAAGGATTGGACGCAAAGGGGTGTGCAGGGACGAAAAAAATAACGTTATAGGGACGAAGAGAGAGGTGTGAGTGAGTTTGGGGGAGGAGAAAAAAATAAAAAATACAGCGACAACAACGACGACGACGACGACCGCAGAGGCTAAAAATTAATGCGTTAATTACTGTTCGAAAACAAAATTGGAATACCGTGTTGGGAGTGTGTCGGGACCAATTCCCTTGTAGGAAACGCACAGGTTTCCAGTGATAGGGTTAGCGAAATAGACTGTAGCAGGACAACGTATGTATAATATATTATACGTGCGTATATGTATATACGATAAATGATTTTGGATATATTATTTCGTTCTCATAAATTACCGTTTTTTCCGCATCGGCCGTATTGTTATTAATGGATTGCACTCCAACGAGAGTTTCGAAATGCAGAGAGAATTTTTTCGTTTAATTTATATTAGTTAAACTTTCAGAACTGCAGCTGTGAAAAATACCACCTATCTGTACAGTACATACAGATTACGAATTTGTACGCAAATAAATCGATGGTTTTGTACTGGTTTCGTCTTCGGGACAGTTTACAGGCCACGGCATGAAGTGTTCTAAAAATGATTTTATTCAAAGCGAGATTTCTAGTTATTTTTTCTTATAGTACCTAACGAAATAATGCCGACCACCCTCTGTCTTTTTATGTTTCCTGTATTATTTTATTTAAATTATAATTTTTCTTTTCCTCTCATCAAAGTGGCTATTTCAGAAACGGCTATCTCAGTGAGTGTTAAAAAAATGAGTTTCATTACCTGCGTATGATTGCAACGTGAGGGTGGGTTGCCAGTGTCTGAATTTTTAGGGTGAAGAATAAGGTATATTCGGATGGAGAGAAAGTGAGATAGTCGGATAAAGAGTATGAAAGAGAGAACCATCTGTTTCCCTCAGGTTCTTCGTCGCAATAACAATAAAAAAAATAAAATGAAGAAAAAACGAATAATATTCATCCAGAGGTAAAAACCGGCACGGGCGGCCCTTTGCGTTTCGGATTAAGAACGAAAATTAAAAGTTTAATTCAGCTTTATAGAAAGAAATGTAATGAAAAGGCAAGCTAAAACTGCGGGGGAATGAAAAGCTATTTTTACAGGGGTAGTACGTGAATTGGCGAGCTTGTATCGTTATTCGACCAACTAATCTAGTAGTACTTCAAACGAATTCCTCTTTTTTTTTTTACCAAACAAGTTTTTTTTTATGACTTTGACAAACAATCTACCTGCTGCTACCTTTTATTATTACTATTTAAAACGGCGCGTTTTTGTAAAAATAAAATATTTATATTAAAAAAAGCCAGTTTTGGTGTGCATACTCGCGTGTTGTGTCAAATGAATTTTGAACATAACAAATTGCTTTGTACGGTATTTGTTTTAATTTTTTTTCTTTATGATATTTTACATCATATTATTTTTTTAAATAATATTCATGTCATAGTAAAATCGTAATTAAATTAAACAAAAAACAAACCCCAAAATGATAATATATTATTCTCGCTTTATTGCGCTCGACGCACTCGCAGCTACTAAAACGGAATTCGTCGGTTTACGAGATATTAAAAACAGAATTGTTGATGTGCGCGTTTGTAGTTTTTACCATCGTGATATGCGGTGCATCGCTGACGTATTATTTCGAATTATAATAGTGACACAAAATAGGTGCGACTGCATCTGGGGCCTCCTGCAAGAGAAAATCCAACATAATCGCGGTCTGCCAACCAATCGCTTATCTAAATATTTTCAAATATTTTACCGTACTGACGTAAAGCTGATGCGTACCTACAAAATTATATCTTATCATACCTATTGTAGATATTCTCTGGTACATAGAACAGTAACCCGCTGCGACAGTGGTATACGGTCGCAGCGATAAGTACCGGAAATTTATCTTTTTTCCTATATAGAGGTCTTAAAGACACTCGATAACCGAGACGCAGTTTTAGTCTCGACTCGAGTCTTACTCGTCGCCATGCCCCGTGACCTATACCGCGTTCTACAGATATAATATTATTATGTAAGCCACTATACCGTCGCCGTCGTCCGGTCTGTAGGAGATACGCGCACTATTATCCGGGGAGGCCATCGGCTGCGCTGTCCAGACAAACTTCGGACCGGAAAGTTTATCGGTCCCTCCACCTCCTGCCGCGTGAACATCGCAACACGCTGTCCACGTCGTGCGCTTTATACATACGCAGTTGTAATAATAATAATATGTGCTCTATCGTATAACCATTCCGAGTGGTAGCGGTGGATCCGATCGGATCGGATCGGATCGAAAACTCAAGTGAACCCGGTGGAGAGGAGGAAAACGCGTGGGACAAAACTAATAAAGCTCTATACCGCTATACCTCTCCCCCTCTCACCCACCCATTTATGTATATATATACACGAGTTTGTCCAATCGACCCCAACGCCACCACGATACAATCGCGAGCACATAAATCCTTCATACACCTGAAGCAAAATAACTTTATGTGACCCCATACGCACGACAGGCTGTGCGACTCACGCGATGT